TTGAATTTGACTTCATACATTAGCTGTCAAATTCAACTCTCAAAGGTACACACCAACATGTTGTCTCAAATGATCAGAAAAATATTACGATCATCGAACACGCAACTATTCAGTTGATCAGAAGTACGCAACAACGCGTTCAGAAGGTGCAATCGTACCAGTTACTGAGCTGTTGCGCCTTCTGAACGTGCCCAATGAAAATTCGTTTCTCTTGAAATCAAGTTATATGGCTGCGTATGTATGTACATTAGGGCTGTGCGATTAATTGATTACTCAAAATTTTAATTAATCATAAAGTAAATAACTCAATTATTCGATTAATTGGAAATTATGATTACTCAAAAGTTCAGTTACTCGAGTAATCAAGATTTTTGATTAACCAAAAACAAAAATATTTGAGTAATTTGCTTTATGATTAATCAACATTTCGAGTAAAATGAGTAATCAACATTTCAACTCTTTACATATGTATAAAGTAGTTAAAGTTCCTTGATACTTTGAAAACAACGTTTCTGTTTTCAAAAATTAAAGCAAACAATTTTTTTCATATACAGAATGTAAAAAAGAAAAAAGCATTTTCCAAAGCAAACTCTTTTAACGAGCAAAATTATTTTTTTTGAGTAATCATATTTCAAGTAACTCGATTAATCATCGTTTTGAGTAATCAAAATCTTGAACGAGTAATTGATTAACCGAATAATTGATTAACCAACTTGCTCGAGTAATCGAATAATCGCACAGCCCTAATGTACATATGTACATATTTCGAAATTTTTTTTATTTGTAAAGGCTCTCAAGAAAAACTAAAAATTCATATAAAATTACGCACAATGAATGGAAAATAAATTTGCTTCTATAAAAAATTTCTTAAATCAGTATGCAGCTCTTAAGAAAAAAATGCTCGTACATCTCGTCGCTACCATGTCCAGCTATCGAATGTGAAAATCGGCACTTTTCAAAATTTTGATTTGCCACTAATAATTTTATTTCGTATAGCAGCATTGCTTAAGTTGTTGTTTTTGACAACTTATTTTTTGGTTAATGCCGCCGCAAACGATATCAACTAGTAGGCTAACAACCAGAATTGAAATTTAATACGCAAGTACTTACAGCAACTACAAGTATACAGAGAGTAGATTTGCTACTCCCTTTTGGCAGCAGCAAATATCTCTCGTACGCGATGAGAGAAAGTAGAGTACCTACTTTGGTGNTCAACTAGTAGGCTAACAACCAGAATTGAAATTTAATACGCAAGTACTTACAGCAACTACAAGTATACAGAGAGTAGATTTGCTACTCCCTTTTGGCAGCAGCAAATATCTCTCGTACGCGATGAGAGAAAGTAGAGTACCTACTTTGGTGGAGTAATATCAAGTACGTGAAGTATTTACTATTTCAACGCCAAGTAGTGTATGTATGCAGAAAAAGAGTAACAATGTGTTGGGAGTAGAGTACAATGCAAGGAGTACTTATTGAATGAAATGCGGCAAATACACTTGCGCTGGACTTTAATATATAAATATATATATATTTTAATTGATAGGTAGCAAAAAGTGAAAATCCTTTAAATGGCAAGCATCTTTGAAAGACCCTTAACATTATTATAAATATTTTCCAGAATGAGCTGAATGTCTTATAATTTTTCATTTATCTATAGTCACTTCAAAAACTGCTGGCAAGCAACAACGCCGTTTGTATAATCGAAAATATCCGGAGGAACTGCAAAATGCAATCCCTCAACTCAATGAAGTCTGCTATGCCTATGAGATTCATGCAATACCCCACTTTGAGAAAGATGACTACACTGAACACATCGCCGAGCTATTGCAGACCAATCGTAACTATGCTATTTTATCGCGTAAACGCATACCGCCGCTCGCAGAAATGCCGCTTTTCATGAATCAGGGTAAATTGTCAGTGAAAGTGGCGCCACAACCAATTACATTGACTATATCAAGTCAACAGCAATTACAACAACTATGTAAATTCCATTTGATGATCTTCCGAGATTTGCTCGAGTGTTGGAAAACTTTCTTCGTATTAGATCAGCGTAACCACGAGAATTCATACCTCATCGTACCGATTAATGCGGGAAAAATTGATTGGGAATTGGTACAAAACTTCCAACGTCTATTGCCACAGCGCAGCTACAGTGTCATTGAAAGGAAAAAGAAGGTCTACAAGGCGGAGGATTATGTCGGCAAAGTGATTAATAAATGGTACTCAGGCAGAGACAATCAACGTTTTGTCGTAACCAAAGTACTTACTGATCTCACACCACTAAGTCCTTTCGACAATAATCAATATTCAAGTTACGTCGATTTTATCGACTGCAAGTACAAAAATGAAGTGGATTATGTGGTGCAACCGAATCAATTTTTGCTAGAAGTTCGTGCACTAACTTCGCGTCGAAATTTTTTTATTAACGCTGTTGGAAAGGCAACGAAGGGGCATAAGAATAATTGCGCAATCCGTCTTATACCTGAACTTTGCCATAACTTTATGTACCCGGGTGATATGTGGATGAAAGCGTTGCTGCTGCCCAGCATTTTGCATCGCGTTCATTTTATGCTGCATGCGGAAAATTTGCGCCTTCGTGTTAATAGATTTCTGGGCATAGTAGAAAGAACGTCTTACCAGCCGAAGCAATTATTAGTCGACGAGTCATTGTCACGGGCTGTCGATCTTGACGGCAATGCTATGGAACAGCCAGAGGTAAGAACCTGTTGTCATTATTCATTTAAAGCTACTTCGATTTGTGAAGAAAAAAGATTGTTCAGATTGGTTATTGTAGAAAAAGTGAACTTTGCGATGATCAAATAGTTAACAATCACTTTGAAGGTTTTTAACTT